ACAACAACATATCTATATATTATATAGCTATACTCCCTCTCCCCTCCTCTACCCCTACATTTTTAGAGAGGAAGAAAACATTAATCATATTTTTCTTTTTGTTCATGTAATTGGTAAGATATTTTTTGCAAATATGAAAAGGGGTCATTTAAATGGTCTTTTTAAATAACTGAACTGCAATTGTGTCATAATAGAAGGAAAATTTTTAAGCTGGAATTTGGGATTAAATAAAAAAAAATAACTAAGACAAAATATGTCAAGGCAAACATGTGGGCTGTTTCACAAAAGAAGTATATGTTCCTTTTCTCATTCGACAGCAGACATGAAGGACACAGAAATGGCTTGTTGGTTTTACTTCACCTCTCCAGGTACCTGTCTCTTTAGACCTAAACAAAATGCAGAGATTAGTCTGAAGGAACTATGTTTTGTGTCAAGATGGTCTTTTCTCTTTTTTTTTTTCACTGACATGTTATTTGAACCTCAATAATGAACTTATTGAGGTATTATTTAATTTTCTAATTTTAGCTAATGTGGTAATTAACCACGAGTACCCAACTTACAATTCAACTGTACTTAAGAGACTTTTTCTAGGAATCACGTGACTCATGGGTTAGTTACCATTAGGACAATTTAATTATCTTATTTTTGTGTTAATTTTTATTTCTGCAGCCCTAACTAAATGTTCTGGGATAAAAAACAAAATTTGAACTTTTGTATTTAGAAATTTAGGGCTAGTGTTTTCATTTTTTAAATCTGTCCCTGTTAGAAAGTGGAGTCTATGTTTTAAAATGTCCAGCTTAATGCAGTAGCAAGAAAGAATGTAGTACACTCTGGATACTATGCTTGGACATGTAGCTTACTATCTAAAGGATCAAGTCTTGTTTTCCACTAGAACGCCGGGGTTTTTTTCCATGTAGTTTTCCAACTTCCACCATTTCTAGAAAATATCTACTGGGATTTCCCCCCCCCTTTTAAATTGATATCCAAATCATAAAATATTGGAGATTGGCAGCAAAGCCAGTTTGCTTACAAATACTGGGTAGCTCATTTTTAACAATAATGCTGATCTGCTCACTTTGTCTATTTTGAAGGTATTCTAAAATGCTGTTTGGTGCCAAATATAGAAAACAAGTTTAAGTCAAATTAATGTAAGTTTGGAGTCGCTTAATTTTCTTTGTTTTAGTAGCCTTTTACTAAAATGCATTAATTTGCACTAATTTTCTAGCTTCATTTTCTGTCTTGCTAAACTTGGTATTCTCATTCTCTAGATTTCCTTAGCTATGAAGAGATCATGGGAACATGTCCATATCTCTACTTAAGTGGTATTTATGGGTCCTAAAGGGTGTGTACGATATGAATACACGCACGTGTGCATGGCATTGACGTCTCTGCCAGTACCTCAATGGCGTCCCTGAAAGCTACATTTTTTCTTGCCAGTTCTGAAAATTAATATTTCAAATGCTTCTAGAGTAAAAAATAATAGTCATGATTCTATATGTCAAGTGTATTACAGCTAGATCAGTTTATACGTATAACTTTACATAGTATTTTGTGTAAAAATAGCTTTGGTTATTAAAATCATTGCAATAAAATACCTGCACTATTATGTGTGTTCTTTGGTACCTAGGTGATTTTTTTGTTAAATGGATGGACTCTTGTTTCATTTCTTAAAAAATATCTGAACATTCCTTAACAAACAAAGAGAATGCACTGGTTTAGGTGTCATTCATATTTCCTTTGCTGGGTTTGAATCTGCGTTTATGTAGGTTGTAGGCCTGGCAGGTTCAAACGCTGGGCTAGACAAGCACAACCACACTCCTCATCCAAAAAACTCAGATAATCCCACAATCTGTTGGTTGGACCCTTACAGATCAACCTTTCCTGAAGACCTGCCTTGCCTAAATCCCTAACCACTGGTGGTGGTGGGGTGTGTGTGTGTGTGTGCGCGCGCGCACATGTGTGCCCACACGTGTGCACAGTACTGAGACACCATACACCTTTGTGGTACAGTGGAACAGATGAGAAAGTCAGATCTTAAAAAGATGTCCACTCAATGACTCCAAACCACTATCCTCCAAGCCACTAAACAGCCAAGCACAGCAAGAATGATGATAAATTGGAGGTATGAGATCCAGTGGTGTTTTCTTGCTCATAAATTTCCTTGCCAAGCCATCACCCCGCTGAAGTGTGTGTCTCCAAACAAAGTCAGGATACAGTTGAACTAAGTCTTTGGTTTCTTTGGACTATAAATAACACTTTTTTTCTTCTTCAAATATTCTAAGTATAAACCTGCTATCTTGAGGTCCTGGTCTTTAAAAACTTTCTTTTATTTATTTAAAGCTTTTCCACCGAGGTTTCAGTCTGTGGTTATTCTTCATGCTTTGGTACAAGTGCTTGATGAAGATGAGTTGCCTGAATTGGAGCTGCCCTCGTCTTGCCACTTATCCAGACTCCTCCTCCGAGCATTCATGAAGAAGTTGCTGACGGTGCTCAGCTCTAACCCCAGCTGCTGGGAAATGGTGATTTGTAATTCTTTGGATGGACGCTTATTTTCCTTGAATATTGCATGTAGAGTTCGGCGCTGGACATCTGTGAAGACCAGCCTGGGCTTTTTGGGTGTGTTGCCTCTATCCTTCCCATGTTCTTGCTCTTTCCTTTTGCATGCTGCAAAGAAACACAGAGTGTGTTAACAGACCATGTGGGAGAATCAAGAGTAGAAGTGTGGGGGTCAATAGGATTTGTTAGCTATCCTCGTGGGATGCTTTCTGCCTGTTGGCCCACTGCATAAGCTCCATGATGAGCTGGGAGGGAAGTGTAATACAAGGATGGAGAACTAGGATGCAGTTAGGGGTCTTTGAGGTCTAGGCTTACGATTTTGGAACCCACCTTTGATGAGTGTCTGATCTTTAATTTTTATTTAACGCCACCTGGGCCTTAAATTCCTCATCTGTAAAGGAAAATCCAAGATCAAACCTCCAACCATTACATTCATTCTGACTAATAATGACCCCATAGGACAGAATAGAAATCCCAACATGGTCTCCAAGGCTGTTGGTCTTATGGAGGCAGACTACATCACTTTTCTCACCAACAAGACTGATTATTGCTGTTACACACACTTGAGTGAGAAGGGACTCATAGCTAATCCTCCAGCATGTTCTCAGATGCTTTAACATTTAGGAGGAATCTGCCCATCTTTCTCCTGTGGAGCAGTTGGTGGGTTCGAACTCAATGCCTTTAGACTGCCGGCATAACTCCTTACCACTCGATCACCAGAGCTCCCTTCAGGACTGGATAGGGGTTTGATCGGTTTGATTGACCATCTTTAAGGTTAACAGACAAGTATTGTAATCACAACACAACCTGGGCCCCTTGTAGAAGGAAGAGTCTGGTTAAATAAATTTCTAATTTAGATTCTATCTCTTCATGTGCAAAACAGGTTCCAGAATACCTACCTTGATGAGTTGGGATAAGGATATGTGGAATAGTCTACACAGAAGTTTATCTAAATGGAGATCCTTTATAGATAGATAGCCTTATCATTTAGAAGTGGCTATAGCCTTCAAAAGGTTTACAGCCTGGTGGTGGTAAAATGAACTCACACTCAAACTCAAAAATCACTGTTGAGTTGGTACAGAAGGTTTCTGAGACTGTAAACCATCAAGGAAGGCACGTGCCCATCTTTTTTCCTGGGGGAGTCCCTGTTGTTATGTGCTGTTAAATTGGAACTGACCCACAAATAACCCTTCAGCACAGTAAATTACATGGGAGGAGAGTGTCCATCTTTCTTCTACAAAGCAGCCCGTAGATTCGAATGTCACACCTAAGACTAAGCCACCAGAGTTCCTGGGGAGTCTCTGGTGACTCAACTTGTCAGAAGCATGTAGCCTTTGAGTTAGCAGCAAAATACACTGCTCAATTAAAACAGATGAAGGAGAAAACTGTTTAAAAGGGATATATGATTAGGTATTATTGTCATGGCAGGAGCCCAGAACGAAGGCTGCATAGTGGAGTGGACCTGGGGGTAGGGATTGTAAAACAATGAAAG